CATAACACGTGGTCAGTTGGTATAACACCTCATATTCCACTGATTTGGTTTTTGCACACCCACGTCATTACAATCCTGGGTAGGACTCTGGATATAAAATCCAGAGTACAAGTTCTGCACAAATTAAGTTACTTTCATTCCGGCATGTTGAGTTCCTATTCTGGTACACTGTACCAAATGTTATAAATAGGCTTACTTTATACTATATTGTACGCCAGAGTGGACGAGGCCACCAGCTTCTCCACCGCTAAATCTTAATTTACTTCTCCTTTTATCAACTGACTTGATTCAAGTCCTTCACAAGTCCAATATTCAAGCTTCTCCTCCAAGATTCTCTACCTACATATAGTCTCGCTCTCCTCAGCTGCCCTTACACCTCTGCAAATCCCTTACTTCAACACGGCTCGTTGCGTTTTCCTGCTACGACTCGAGTCGTCTTGACATGTGACTCTGGGCTCACACTGGTAACACCACCTATGCCATTCTCGGATAGACACCATTTAACCGTTTTCAGATGCGCGTGTGATCCAGCGGCACAGTGCGCCGCGACAAACTGATGCATTCGAATCCCTGTCAGCTGTTTATCCCCGTCGATGGCAACCTGCTTGAATCGTTTGGGAGGAATGCTCGTTTGTTGCTGTTGCCTTATGTTGAAAAGTTCTAGCTGCCGAGCAATCTGTGGCGTTGCACAGTGATACAGCACGGAGTCGAGGCCTCGTGTGCTCCATTTGGTCACGAAAGAACGGTCATTTTGGTCCCGTGACAAAATCTCAGTCCATACTTTACCGGACGATCTTCGTACCATTCCCCGCAGCCTCGAAGAGTCCGTCGATGCAATGTGCAGCAACATAAATCCAGCCGAGATGATAAGTGCCACTGCCAAGCCGCCGAAGATTGCGTACAGATGCGGGTCTGAGTGTAATTCGGCATTTCGGAGTACTAAATCTGCGCCAACTTTGCAAGTAAAATGGATCACTAGAACTGCTACTGCGTTCAGTGTCCAGAAACGAACAAAATCACAGCGTGCAGCGTGATCCAGACGCATCGCAAGTGACCGCGTCTGCAGCGTGATGCGAATAACCCAGTAGCTACTGCTCAGCGTCGTGAGCACGAGTGTGAGGCTTTGTACTGGAATCGCTGGAGTGCACTGAATGACGATACTCCCCTCTGCAGTAGAGAGTTTTGCCGTACACCCAAGCGAAAAAATATTGCTAAGCGCTCCAATCGCGCCTAGATACAACAACACCATTGTACCGGGATGTTCCAACGCGCCGTCTGCTGGGTCGCACTGTAGCAGCTCGAATAGTCCAAGTCTTATGGGTGGAGGAGCGTTCTTTTCGAATGATTCAGCTGTAGTTCGATATAAGCTGTTACGGATAAAAATCCAGACGCTTTTGAGCATGAAGAGGTACTCTAATGCGTAGTACGAGGCCCCGATTAAGTTGAGAATCAGTAAGAACGTTCGGATCTGTCGACTCGTGTTGTCTTGGATTCGAATACGTCGATAGGTTATCGTGGTATCAATCATGAACCACTCGATCTGACGCAAGTTGTCTTGCTCCAGTAGCTGGTTTTCCGGTGTACTACTAGGTGAGATCAGTGCTGCACACGCTGGGAGGTCAATTAGACTTCCATTTAGAGTTCGAAATTGTATCTCTTTCGACGTCATGAAGAGTCGGCAAAGTATCTG